TTTTTTTTTTTTTTTTTTTTTTTTTTTTTTTTTTTTTTTTTTTTTTTGGTTTTTTGAGACAGGGTTTCTCTGTGTAGCCCTGGCTATCCTGGAACTTACTCTGTAGACCAGGCTGGCCTCAAACTCAGAAATCCACCTGCCTCTGCTTCCCAAGTTCTGGGATTAAAGGCATGTTCCACCACCGCCCGGCTCAGTGCTTCTAATACAGTAGGGAAAATTAAGATGACATCTCATGGATATTTTATCTATCTATCTATCTATCTATCTATCTATCTATCTATCTATCTTTAAAGACAGGGTTTCTGTGTAGCCCTGGCTGTCCTGGAAATCACTCTGTAGACCAGGCTGGCAGAGATCCACTGCCTCTGCCTCCTGAGTGCTGGAATTAAAGGCGTGCGCCACCACTGCCCGGCTTTCTCATGGGTATTTTCAAATTTGACCATCATTATTTACAACTGGAAATGGAAACAAGAGAACTCCTCACTCCTTGCGGATGCTAATGTTCTCATTCATGACGCCTGAGATCAAAGTGCTGCGGACAGAACTATGAAATCTACTGAGAGAGTCACTTCAGTCTACGGGTGGCAGAACGGCTCGGCAGTCTTCGCTCCCTTAAGTTTGGAAACGTGATTTCATTTCTCATTCAAAAAATGTGATTTTTTTTTTTATCCCACTGATGAGTCCCACACTGTGACTCCATCTGAGAATTTATGTCTGGCCCTGAAATGATCCTGAGCTCCTGTGAGAACTGGGAAAAGCTTGGTCCACCCGAACTAATAATTCCAAAGTCAGTGGTCCACCCATCTAAGTGAGAGGGGTCAAATGTGACTCATAGTAAAATATATCACGGTGTTAGGAGTCTCAGGGGCTGAAGAGGAGCACTAGCTGCTCTTCCACCGAACCTGGTTCATTTCCCGACACCCACGTGGCAGCTCACAACTGTCTGCAACTCCAGTTCAAGGAGATCTGATGCCCTCACACAGACATGTATGCGGGCAAAACATCAATACACACGAAATAAATCTTTAAAAAGAAGAGGAAGGGGGAAGAGGAGGAAGAGGGTGGTGGTGGCACATACCTTTTGTTCCAGCACTCGGGAGCAGAGGCAGGTAAGGTCTCTCAGAGTTCGAGGCCAGCCTGATCTACAGAGTAAGTTCCAGGACAGCCAGAGCTACACAGAGAAACCCTGTCTCGAAATAGATAAATGTAAAAAAATTAAAAACAAACAAATAACAAAAATCCAAAGCAGAACAAAGTTTCTATCTTTCGGGAAGAAAACGGATTTATTGAGCACGCAGTTCACTCTGAGGGACGGCGGCCAGGAGGCCCACGTTTTTTACTGTCATTTCATCTTTTTTTATTTTTTTAAAGATTTATTTATTTATTGTGCATGGTGATTTGCCTGCGTGTGTGCCTGTGCACCGCTGGGTCTCAGGGAACTGGGGTTACACTTATAGAACACCATGTGGTTGCTGGGAATCAAACCTGGGTCCTCTGGAAGAGTAGCCGATGCTTTAACCTCTGGGCCATCTCCAGTCCATCTTGATTTTTTTTTTTTGAGACAGAATCTAATCTTATATTTGTGCGATCTCCCTCAGACTCTTCGGTGCTGAGATTATGGGTGTGAGCTGCGACTCCTAGCTCAGAAGTCTTCACATATTTAGAAATAAATACAGTGCCCGCTGCACTTGGGCAGCCTCTCTTGATGGGTGATCCTATCTCAGAATCACTCAGCTCCACTCAGCCATTACTAAACAGAGAATCCACTGAGATTGCCATGATTTCTCTAGGACATACCCATTTCTTGTCCCACTGAGCTGAAACTCCAGCTGCAGCCTCACTGGAAGAGAGAGTTGGTCCAGGGGTGAACCAAGGCTGTGAGGAGGTTTCCTCATTCACACAGACATCTGTAGAGAATCCTCTGTGTGTTCCCTGGGGCTGCAGTGACAGGGTGTTTGTGAGCTGCCTCTTCTGAGTGCTGGATCCCAAACGCTGGTCCTCTGGCAGAGCAGCGTGGGATTTTACCTGCTGAGCGTTTCCCAGGCTACCTCCACCATATCCTCTGAGATGGCTCTGCTGCTGAACTTGGAGCTCACCTATTTGTCTAGACTGGTTGGCCAGCCAGTTTCACGGAGCTGCCTGTCTCTGCCCTCCCAGGGCTGAGGGTTTACAAACGTGTGCCACCATGGCAGGCTTTTTTAGTGTGCTGGGAATCCAAACTCACTTCTTTACGCTTGTGTGGTGCACACTTGACCCACAGCCACCTCTGCAGCACCAGAAACTGGATTTGTTACAAACTCCACTGAGCCAAAGCAACTCTCTGGAGCCAAAGATCCAGATTTCTCAGATGTAGTCAAGCTTGAAGATCCTTTGTTTCAACCTTTTTGGACGATGGCTTCCAGAAGGCTGATGAAAGTTCTCTTTATCTGGAGAGACTGTTCTCCACTTTTATTTTCTTTCTCTTTTTGAGACAAAGTTTCTCTATGTAGCTCTGGTTGGTCTGGAACTCACTCTGTAGACCAGGCTGCCATCGAACTCACAGAGATTCACCTGCCTCAGCCTCCAGAGTGCTGGGATTAAAGGCATGGCCACTATACCTGCATCTCTCTATTTTACTGTATTAACTGAGTCCTTCCAGTGCCAGCCATTGGCAGAGCTTACCAAGAGGCAAACACTAGTGCATGCAGACCCTGGTCAGTCTCTGGCCAGCATGGAAGAGGGTGTTTGAGGATCAGAAGGGATAAATGAAGACCACCAATGCCCTCTGCCCAGCCCACATCAGTCGTAGGAACCATCTGTAGTGTTCCTTCAGGGTAAGCATCTTCAGCTCTTCCTCACAGGATAAAATAAAATAGTTTTGAAAATGATTTATAGATATAAAAATTTTACCCTGTGGTTTATTTTATCCAATGATTTCCCTTTAAAGTTTCTTCGTGTGTTTTCGTTTATATTTTACCCCCAAATTTTTCCAGAGGCACCTACAGGAAAAATCAAGTTCTATCATGGGCCAGATGAAGGCTTTGCCCAGCACACCCGTTTGGTGCTCTGTGGCTTCTCTTGTTCCTTCCTGAAAACCTTTCTTGAAGGGTGAAGTGACCTGCAACCCATGGCCTCCACCCTCCACCTTCTCACCCAGACACTTTACTTCCTTACCCAGCAACAAACCCATTATCTCAGAGAACTGCTCTGATTGGCTGCTTACCGCAAGGGTCTTCCCCTAACCTAGACTCTGTTTCTTTTTACCTCCATCTTGCTCCCTTGCTCCCCATCCCGGCAATGGTCCTCTTTGTGGAGCTGGCCCCGGTACTCCTAACCACAATGAGCTTCCTGGGTCCCCAGGGAGTATGGGCCATCAAGGGTAAGTGCGGGGATACCTGGGGGTGGGAGGAGACAGCACCGGGTGAAAAGTGTCTCTCTCTGCTTCAGGTATATGGCAACTCCTGCAGAGAAAATCCCTGCCACCTCCACTATGGACCTAACCATTGGGCTGAGACCGGGTCTCCTCTGGGCTTCTTTTACATTCGGAGTCTCCCTCACCCCTACCTCATTTCTGTGATCCCCGCCCTCACCCGCCTCACTGCAGAGTACCCTGACTCCTCTTCCTGGCTGCAACATGCACTTCTTGTCCAGCTTTGCTGCAGCATTCACCTCTGTGTTTACATGTGCCCTCCTCTGGTTTTCCCCGTTTGGCGTCATACTGGGCTCACAACAGTCCCTCACATGGCTTCAAAAGTGTAGGGCTCTGAAAGACCCAGCGGAAATGTAGCCCTGGATACCCAGGGAACAGCACTCTGCCTCGGAGTGAGACCTATTAATCAACACTCCCAGATGGAAGCTGGAACGTAAACTTTAAATCCTGATTTTTTTTTTTTAAGTTGGCTTTTTGAGACAAGGTTTCTCTGTGTAGCCCTGGCTGTCCTCGAACTTGCTCTGTAGACCAGGCTGGCTTCAAACTCAGAGATCTGCCTGCCTCTGCCTCTCAAGGGCTAGGATTAAAGGTGTGCGCCGCCGCTGCCAGGCTTGAAGTCCTGACTTTATGTCCAGCGTATCTTACAATATTTTGGGATCTTCTATTGTGTTTATGAGACAGAGTTTCATTGAATTAGGTAGCCCATGCTGGTCTTAAACTTCTGATCCTCGTGAGTCCACCCTCTGAGTGCTGGAGTTGTAGGGGTGTGTCATCATGCCCAGCTTGTGGAAAGCGGCTCTTTCCCTCACCCTGGTCTCTGGATCACAGACATTATTAAATCATGCTCCTGTCTGTCACTGTCCCTCACCCACTTCTATCCTAGCTCTCTTTCCCAAAAGCTCTCTTCAATGCTTCCCTGTAACCATTTTCCCCTCACCCCAAATGTATCATCTTACACACAAGACCAGACAGGGTGTCTGCCGCTATAACTATAGCAGATGAAGGTAGCCTGGAAACCCGACACCATCTCGGGTGGGCAGTCTCTCCTTTTCCCAACCTGCTTTGCCAGCTCCACCCATGAGCGCGTTGGCCACGCCTCCACCCAAGCACGCAGTTGGTCACGCTTCCACCCATGCGTGCAGTGGCCACGCCCCCTCTGCCCTCCTCCTTTCCTGTCTCTGCAACTATGGCTTTCCAGGACTGTCCTCACGCACAGCCCAGGATGAGACCAGGCTGAGACTCAGAAGCTGAGGCATGCTTCTCTCCGCTCCCATCCTTCCCTCACCCAATACAGCCGACCACATGGGCTCTTATGGACCAGCCTTCTACCAGTCTTACGATGCTTCCGGACAGTTCACACACGAATTTGACGGGGAACAAATTTTCTCCGTGGATCTGAAGAACGAGGAGGTCGTGTGGCGTCTGCCTGAGTTTGGAGGCTTCGCACGCTCGGACTTTCAGAGAGGGCTGATGAGCATCTCCATGATCAGAGCTCATCTGGACATCTTGGTGGAACGCTCCAACCGAACCAGAGCCGTCAGTGGTACCTGGCCCTCCCTCCACCCCACCTAACTAGGCAGGGAAGGTGCTGGACAGGATCCCCAACCCTTCTCCCCTCCCCTCCTGCCCCAGGAAGCCACACGGGAGGAAGTATCCCTTAATCTCGGCTCTAGGAAGGCCCAGCTGTAAGGGAGGGGACTTTGGGATTCAGCTTCTCATTCCTCCTAGAGCCTCCCAGGGTGACCGTACTCCCCAAGTCACGTGTGGAGCTGGGAAAGCCCAATGTCCTCATCTGCATCGTGGATGATATCTTCCCGCCTGTGATCAATATCACCTGGCTTCGCAACAGCCAACCCGTCACTAAGGGAGTGACCCAGACCAGCTTCTATTCCCAGCCTAACCACAGGTTCCAGAAGTTCCACTACCTGACCTTCGTGCCCTCGGCGGAGGATGTGTATGACTGCAAGGTGGAGCACTGGGGCCTGGACGAGCCACTCCTCCAGCACTGGGGTAGGGAGCACCCTGTCCCAGCCTGTTCATGTCCGTGTCTCCACTACTCCAGATCCCTCCGTATCTCCTCTGACCCTTACTTTCTGTCCCAGAGCCCCAGGTGCTTACCCCACCACCGGACACCCTAGAGACCCTGATCTGTGGCCTGGGCTTGGTTCTCGGCTTTATAGGATGTCTCCTGGGCACCGTGCTCATGATCACAGGCACACGCATGCTCAGTATCCGCAGGTGCAGAAGCCCCGGGAGTCTGAGGCCAAAGGGAGGAAGTCGTGGAGAGCAGATGGGAGAGAAGCATAGGGGAAGAAAACAGAGGAAGCGGGAGGAGATAGAAAAGCAGGACTTTGGAGAAGTGGGCGAACAAATGTGAATTGCCTCCGTCATTTGGATTTCGCATCTTTAGGTAACTTCCTTCTGAGAAACCCGTGAGAGATGACTCCTGGCAGACTTCTGGAAGCTTCTGCAGACTCAGCAGCGGCCTATTACAGTGTTGACCTCGAGTGGCATCAACCTTTGTTCCCTCATTTTCTGGCCACCAAATCCCAGTAAAATTCTGTGAGCACAGTCTGCTGCCCTGGTACCCCAGTGCACTCACAGCTCCGGTACCATCCGCGTCTCTGGCAGCCGTACTAAATTCTCTTAAGAGTGCTTGCGTGTGTCCTTTTCACGGGGTCGATACTTACAGGTGAGGGACGCCTGAGCATCAAGAGGCGTTCTGGGTGGTGGCCACCCAGCAGGGCCACATTAGTGAATGCTTTTATGCAAGCTCATCTGTGCCCATAATGTGGTACTTTGTCAGTGAGCCATTTCACAAGGGTTTCACGAAATTCGTCCCCTGAATTCAGACTTCAAGGAAATGGGTACAGACTATCCAACGATTGCAACTCCCCCAACCAAGGACTTTTGTAGGGCACTGGAAAGGAGGGCTCACAGGGATTCTGCTCCTACGTGAATACCACCTCCCTTTTGGACATTCCCTGGCATCTTGTGAATGACAGACGGCTGCCCAAGACTCAGCATGGCTACTTCCTTCAGTGATATCGATCATACTAGCCAGGAAGATAGAACAGTGGATCTGCAAGATACATGAAGACAGGCGGTCCAGGGCTGGAGAGATGGCTCCGTAGTTAGAGCCCTGGGTGTTCTTGCAGAGGACCTGGGTTTGATTCCCAACACCTACACGGTGGTTCACACCCATCTGTAACTCCCAGTTCCTGGGGAACCTGGTGCACAGATGTGCATGCAGGTAAAATACTCATGCATATCCAGTCAAAATAGTAAGGAAAAAAAAGACAGGATGTCTGAGTGACTCACCAGCTCTCTCTAACCATGTGGACCAGAAGATTTTAACTGTGAGCAAAATTTGAAGCACACAAAGAGATCGGTGAACTTACAAGGTAGTTCATGTCAATCACCAAATGAGTGGCCTAGATTTGAGGCCTCCAAGCCAGAATACCTTAGGAGTCTCTCTTGGGATCTTCTAGATTTGGATTTCAGGGATGGGAAAACAGGAAGTCTGTACATATTTTTTTTTTTAGTTAATTTATTTTTATTTTATGTGCACTGGTGTTCTGCCTGCATGTCTGTGTCAGAGTGTCAGATCTTGAAGTTATAGACAGTTGCAAGCTGACGTGTAGGTGTTGGGAATTGAACTCAGGACCTCTGGAAGACCAGTTAGTACTCTTAACAGCTGAGCCATCTCTCTGCTCCATGATGCAAGTTTTTTCTTTTTTTCCGAGACAGGGTTTCTCTGTGTAGCCCTGGCTGTCCTGGAACTCACTCTGTAGACCAGGCTGGCCTCGAACTCAGAAATCCACCTGCCTCTGCCTCCCAGGTGCTGGGATTAAAGGTGTGTGCCACATTGCCCGGCCACGCTGTACTTCCTAACATGCTTTGTTTGATTCTGATGCCAATGTCTCAGTGCTAGGGGAGACCCGGTAACTGAGATTCCTGATATAAGTGCTGCCGGAGGCCGCTGGCAGAGGATCCCTGCCATCTGAGCTGGACCAAAACTGCTTCCTGGAGAAACTGGGTTTGTTTTTGTTTTTTTTTTCAGAGCATCAAAGTTAATTAAGATAAATAGAACCAGAATGGTGGTTTGAACTGAAAGTTTGGGTCTGGTGAGATAGTTCAGCGGTTAAGAGCACTGACTGTTCTCCTGGGGGTCATGAGTTCAAATCCCAGCAACTACATGGTGACTCACAACCATCTGTAATGGGATCTGATCCCCTCATATGAGTGAGCAGGGGTCAAGAGGGAGAAGGGAGGGGGGAGTTAAAAAAAAAAGAATTGAAAATTTGGTCCTGGGAAAGATTTTTATGGACTTCTCAGGCGAGAGTAAAATTGGTAGAAGCTAACCAAAAAATGTCGGATCTAGGAAAAGGTGTCTTAAGTCAAAGGCTTTGTTTGCCAACAATGGTAAGGTCTTCCCTGTACACTGAAGGGACGTTATTACCATAAACGCACAGGGTACACAGAACCCAGGGTGTGCTTGGCCTGTCTCCTGGGAACAGAGCTGGGACAAGGCAGCAGAACCCAGTTCTTGCTGGGTCGCACTGCCTGCATGTTAGCCACAGTCCTCCTCCGTGACACGTGTGACATGGCCTGTGTGTTAGCCACAGCCCTCGGTGTACTGACCTCCCTGGCCGATCTCTCTCACCCGATGGGCCCTACTTCTCCCATGGGACTGTCTCCCAGTCACACTCTCAAATTCTTGGAAAAACAAAAAGCTACCTGAATCTGGGGTGGGCGTCCATGCCGAGCCCATGTACTCAGAGCAGGGGACAGGATTGCACAGCTATTGAGCGCTCACCTGAGGCGAGGGGAGAGGACAGCCCAGCTCTTGGAAGATATCACAGTTTGCCACTAACCTTGCCCAATTTGTCATGCACTCACACCGAGCGAGCTAACCCTGGTCATCAGGAACTGCCTCTCCCTATGGTTCCAACTCTCCCCATCCCGAGCGCTTTCCTACAGATAACAATCAGGTCACCTCTCCCTCGTAATGACAGCAACCACTCCGCTCTGCCCTCCAGTCAACCCTCCACTGTCCAACCAGTTTCCCTGAGATTTCTGCGCTGGCTTCCTCAGATCCCCTCCATAGAATAGCTTAAGGGTCAAAAGAGCTCTACAGGATTTGTGGCCAAGCCTCTTCCCTTACCTCCGCCCCACCCTCCTGGACAGTTACTTTCAACTGTCCTGACAGACCCTGGGGTGTGATACAGTCGTAGATTGTCCCCTCCCCCATTTATGGTGTTAGCAGCTTGGTCCTCAGTGCTGGTGATGTTGGGTACAGGGACCTTTAAGATACAAGGTCAAGGGGGGGTTCTGAGATCACTGGGGACACTGTCTTGGGGAGGGATTAAGATAGCTTTGGTTAGCTAGTTGTAAGAGGCAGCCTGATCCCCAGCTGCCCTCTGGCTTCCTGTCTGGCTCCTCCTCCCATGCACTCCCTCTCTGGGGGTATCCCCAGACTTCAGGTCCTCCCCAGAGCCTGGCATCATGCCCTTGACTCTCCAGAACCACAAACTAAATAAATCTTTTAAAGGATGAAAAGGATTTTGATAGTGGAAAAAGGACTACCGCGGTTAACAATAACCTCCTGTGCACACCACGATGGGATGGATTACTACACCGTGGTAGACTTGGTTTTGTTTTCAAACAGGGACCTACTATGTAGCCTGGTTGTCCTGGAACTTGCTATGTAGACTGGACTGGCCTCGAACACTCAGGGACCTGTCAGTCTCCACTGGGATCAGAGGCAAATCCTGATTGTTGGTCTTTAAGTTTCCTTTCTTCTCTTGCCACTGGCAGAGGAGGAGCTGGGAGCGTGCTTTTGCTTTTTCCATTGTGAGGGTCATACACATCCCCTTCCAACAGCACACTCACTTTCAGCAGTTTTGCTCATGACTCTGATTGGCTCAGGGTTGCCCACACAAGGTGAACCGTGGAACCAACCGGAAGCTCTCCTTCCTTAGCCGACGCCCTGTTCTCCCTGGGGACTTAGATCACTTTCTTTTTGCTTGACTTTGGTTGTATCTGTTACTAACCAATCAAAATTCAGACACACATCACGTGTCGTCCCAGAACTTCATCTGCTCTTACTAATTAGTCTTAGCATCTTGTCAGGATGCACCTGTCTCCTCTGCCGGATCTCTCGTTTCTTGTTTCCTGTCACCTCTCTTCTACGGTCTGGTGCCTTATTTTATCGGGGCACATACTCCTTTGGCTTCAGAGAGATCGTGCAAAGGAGGCCAGCTTTATGCAATGTGGGTGGAGGAAGGTGGTCTCATTCCACTCTGACCTTTGAACGGTGTATTAATTAGTCAGGGTTCTCTACAGTCACAGAGCTTATAGGTAGTCTCTGTATAGTAAGGGTTTTTGTTATGATTACAGGCTTAGTCCAGCTCTCTAACAGTGATCAGCTGTGAACAGGAAGTCCAAGGATCCAGTAGTTGCTCAGTCCCACGAGGCTAGTAGATCCAACAGATGTGCTGGCAAGTAAATGCAAGCAGGCGAAGAAGTCTTGCTTCTTCCAGTGTCCTTATGTAGGTCTCCAGCAGAAGGTGTGGCTCGGATTAAAGGTGTGTACCACCACGCCTGGATCTGGGACCTTGAACTCAGAATTCTCCTTGCCTTAGTCTCCTGGGATTCATAGCCACACTGTGGCCTCAAGATCTCCATGTCAAGATCCAGGTCAGAAACTTGGATCTCCCAGCCTCAAGATCTGGATCACAGGTGAGCCTTCCAATTCTGGATTCCAGACGTATTCAAGTTGACAACCAGGAGTGGCCATTACAGACGGTACAAAGGACAAAGTTGGAAATAATTCTCACGAGGACATCTAAGGAACGTCTCTAATCACTCAGCTCAGCTGAAACTCCGTGAGTCTGGGTAGAACTTTCCCTTCCTCCTGTCTCTCATTCACACGTGTGCTCCCTTCCCCACGGGGTGAGGAGCCTCCTAAAACCATGACAACTTTGACCTTTGCTCTAGAAACTCCCGGGAAATAGCCACCGTGCCAGTCATAGATTTCACATGTATGTTTGACTTTGCATAAGTCATGCTGTGTGCCAGACTTCTTCTGCCCAGATCCTGCCTGCCAGTCCCCAAGTCCAGATTAGATGTCAATACTGTGACACCTTCTGCCTCCACCTCTGACTCTCACTGTGGAACGTGGCATGCTCTGGTGTGTCTGTCTTTCACACACTTGCACCTCTGTGACAATGAAAGTAATCTGTGCCTGCCATTCCCAACGCTTGACACAGTGTGCTTAATTCTGGTTAATTTGTTCCCACCTCAGCCGGATCCCACTGGCCTGCCCTGGTTTCACTGGTTTCAACTGGTCACTTTCTCAGTGGAACTAAGCCACACTAGGTGACACTCTTCCACCAAGCTCTGTCTTTGTTTCTGTTTTGAGACAAAGTCTCCCTAAGGTGCCCAGACTGGCTTTTTACTCATTGTAGCCCAGGCTGGCCCTAAACTTGAAATGCTGCTTCAGCCTCCAGTAATTGGGGTTTCAGGCCCAGGTTGGTGAGTGCTTTCCATATGCAGTGATATTACATCTTATTCATAAAGTCAAGAATTTGGAAACACCTTTAAATCTTTTGTTTTTTGTTTTTTTTTTTTGTTGAGACAGGGTTTCTCTGTGTAGCCCTGGCTGTCCTGGAACTCACTCTGTAGACCAGGCTAGCCTCAAACTCTCGAACTCAGAAATCCACCTGCCTCTCCCTCCCAAGTGCTGGGATTAAAGGCGTGCGCCACCACCGCCCGGCAGCATCTTTAAATCTTAAAGCTGGCTCGAACCACCCCGAGGTGCTTCAAGACCCTCATTGTTGAGACCTTTCTTTCTCGTGGTTATTTAAAGGGTCTGTGTGCACCTCAACGTTCACAAAGTAAATAAGGCCCCAGAGAACCCCCTCTTCTCCAGCCTCTGACCAAAGTGCTTATTCCAGCAGGCTGAAGCTTATTCCAAGCAGGGGTATGCTCTATCCAATCCTGCATGGTTCTTAGATGTTGCTGTGTAGAGCCTCTCTTACAAGCTACACCTGTCAATAAAAAAAAGCCTCTGGCCAATGAACTGAGGCAGGAAGTAGGAGGTGGAATACTGGCAGGAAGAGAAACAGATTTCTGAAAATAGTCAGAGGCTCAAGATTCGAGGAAAATGCTGAGGAAGGCCGGAACTGAAGGAGAAGAGGCTAGAATACAGGGGACATTCGCCCAGGAATGCTGAGGAGACGGACAGACAGAAACCAGCTGGTAGCCGAACTCAGGATTGGATAAAGAGGAGATTCGCCCTGGACTTGGAGGCCTGAAGCTGAGGAGAGGTAACTAACCATGTGGGAAACATAGAATGAAGTAAAAGAGATAATAAATTAGGAGCCAGTCAGGGAACAAGCCGAAACTTATGACCTAGGCATTTATTAATATAAATAATTAGTCTCAGAGTCGTCATCCCGGGAGCAGGGGCTGGGAGGAAAAACTTGCATTTATTTTTTACACAGCTGTTTCCTGGATACAAGGCAGGAGGAGCCTTTGATAAGAGGTGGCTCCTAGGTCCTACGAAGGTGCACCTGGCCTTGTCCCCCCTCTCCCCTGGGGGCTCCCTGGGTGCTGAGGGGGAGCAGGTTCTTAAGACCTATAAACCATAGTGCACTCTAGGCTAGGAGAATCGCCCTTCCTGACTTGTGTTCCAGGATTCTTACCCATATTTGGGACAGCTGGTGTAGTTAGTAGTAAGCAGGGAAAATTCGGGAAACTCAAAACCAGAAGAGGAAGGGTCTCTGAGGTGACATGAGTGTTGCTTGTATTAGAGGCCTAAATTCAAGGTCAGATCAAGGGCACGTGTTATTCTGCCTTATAGGCCCTCGGGCCCTTTCCTCAAAACCACCACCACCACTCTATCTAGGAGGAAAGTGCCATCCAAATGACTTAGCTTGCCAGGGGTCAGACAGACAGTGTGGCTTGTAAGCTCTGTGTGACGCCATGGGCTTTCCCCTGCAGTGTTGGCAAAGATCCAGGATGTTCACCTCTTCCTGAACATGACTTCTGCTGGCAGAGTCAGCAGGAGGGACAGGAAGAAATTGTCAGGACCAGGGTTTACTGAGGGGATCTGAACGCACTTCTCTCACCTGCCTCATCCGTGATGTCCCCTTGTCAGACTTGCCTTCTTTCTTTTTCTTTTCTTTTCCTTTTTTTTTTTTTTTTTTTTTTGGTTTTTCAAGACAGGGTTTCTCTTTATAGCCCTGGCTGTTCTGGAACTCACTCTGTAGACCAGGCTGGCCTCAAACTCAGAAAGCCACCTGCCTCTGCCTCCCAAGTGCTGGGATTAAAGGCGTGCGCCACCACCACCCGGCCCTTGTCAGACTTTCTTTTTAGAATATTGTCTAGATCCCACGGTAGCCACCAGGGCTGGCTCTGCCCCTCCGGTCCCTCACACTTAGGACTCTGCCTCCGACATTTTGGGATTTGGCTCCATCTTGTGGTTCAAGATCACCGTAGGTACGGACTGCCTCCCAGTAGACGTATTCCTGGTCTAGGAAACACCTCTTGGTATATCCGTTGCCTGAAAATGACCCGGCTACACCAGTCAGACCTAGTTTCCATACCCCCTCTCAGGCCTTTAGCATGTAGATCTGGGCCAGGTCCCCTCTTGCACACCGCCTGGAAACAGTCATCAGAGCTGCCGTCTGCTCAGGATGTCATACCCACGAGGTGGTGTCTCATAGCCCTCCCTCAACCCCAGCCTCAGGCTCTTACAGTCCCTTTGTCCCCGTTCCACCACGTCCCTTAGGCTTGGAGGGGGTAATATCAATGTCTCGCTTAGGGCTGAGCCATTAGCTGTCATTCATTCCGGAACTTTGACCAGTTCTGAGTGTGTCCCGGCCATTGCCTACCATGAAAAGTGTCTTCCCTAGCCACAGATGGGGCAGAGCCAGTCTGGCAACATAAATACAGTTAGAAAGCAGCTTGCTATGACCATTTAGCTGACATTAGCAAGAAGTCTCCACCAGGGGGCGTGCGCATGCTTATGTGTATCTCTAATTGTGAACTTGACACAGCGTGGAGTCAACCCACCAGGAAAGCCTCCATTGACAATTGCCTGGATCAGAGTTGCTGTGGGCCTGACTTGGAAGGGGGCGTGGCAGCCTCGGCTGTTGATTGATGGAGGATGGCCCAGCCCCCGGAGACAGGGCCATCCCAAGCCAGGTGGCCTCGCCTGTATTTGAGAGCTGCGAGCCAGCAGGCAGCCTCCGTGGTTTCGGTTGGCAGTTCCTGCTTGAGCTCCTGTCCTTAACATCCTTCCATGACGGACAGTGGCCTTTAGGTACAAGCTGAAACAAAGCCTCTCCTCCCCATGTGGCTTTTGATCAGTATCTTATCACAACAGAAAGAAAAGTAAGAGCAGGAACCGAGAGCGACATCAGTAGCCGCCCTGTCTTGAATGCTTCTCAGGGCTTCTTGGCCAGCAACACAGGGTGATAACCCGCACTTGGCAATGGGATTTTGGCTTAGAGATCTATGGTTTCTGAGGGTGGCATTTTTCATCTCTGCATGGTATATCCAAACCTCCAAAACTTAATTGTATCTTTTTGTTAGCTCATTAAGTGGTTGTATTATTATCATTATTATTAGTTTTGTTTTTTTTTAGGACAGGGTTTCTCTGTGTAGCCCTCCCTGTCCTGAAACTTGATTTGTAGATCAGGCTGGACTTGAACTCACAGAGATCTGTATGCCTGCCTCTGCCTCCCGAGTGCTAGGGTCACACCCCAGCCATAAAGTTTTCTCATTTCCCTCATCCTCACTGCCTTTGTCATTTTAACCTTTTTAGACCCATTACTCCCCGTTTTTCACATCACATGCAAAAGTTCTCCTATCCGTCTCCCCAGGAACCCGGTGCCCACAGAGGACAGAAGAACCTGTCAGATCCCCTGGGACTCGAGTGACAGGTGGTTGGGAATTACCATATGGGTACTGGGAACTGAATCCAAAGTTTATGGAAAAGAAGACATTGCTTTTAACTGCTGAGCCATCTCTCCAGACCCATAAATATTTATTTTAATTGTATGTGTATATAAATACAAGCCTTAGACAAGACCAGAGACATCAGACCCCTATGGAGCTAGTGTTACAGAGCCCGTGAGCTGCCCAGTGTGGGTGCTGGGAATTACACTGAGCCATTGCAAGAGCAGCAGACACTCTACTATGAAGCCATATACTATTTATGAGTTCCAGACAAACACTGGTTTGTTTTACTGAGACAGGGTCTCACTATGGATCTCTGGTTGGCCTTAACTCTCCATGTAGACCATTCTGAACTCTAATTCAGACTGATCCTCCTGCTTCTGCCTCCCATGTCTTGATATCAAAGGCTTGCACATCCATTTCCAGACCAAATGCAGGTCTTTAAAGTATAGTATATCTTTACATGTCTGTGATTTTCTGAATGTTGTTGGCATCTGTTGTAACGTTTCACTTTCGGGTATAAACTTAACTAAATAGGGACTTTCCTTTCTTCTGTTTAATTTGGCTAACGGTTTGTCAATTTTGTTTATCTTTTCAAGCAACCAACTCTTTGTTGCTTTTTGTTTCATTTTCATTCTGTTCATTTCTCTCCTGTTTATTTCCCTTCTACTACCTTTGGATTTAGCTCACTCTTGTTTTCTTGCTGTTTTGAGGTTGTTTGGGACCGCTCTGCTTCTGTAACAGAGGCAGAGTGGGAACCTTCCCGTCAGGATAGCCTCCATGGAGTTCCCTAGGTTTTGTGTTTTTATTTTTTTCCTATTTTAATTATTATTTTTTATTTTTTCAATGACCTCATCCAATATCTAAGGTTCTTTTTTCTGTGGGTTGTGTGTGTTTGTGTGTATGTGTGTGTGTATGTGTGTATGTGTATATGTGTGTGTATGTATGTGTGCGTATGTATGTATGTATGTATGTATGTGTGTGTATGTGTGTGTGTATGTGTGTATATGTGTGTGTATGTATGTGTGCGTGTGTATGTATATGTGTGTATGTGTATGTGTGTATGTGTATATGTGTGTGTATGTATGTGTGCATATGTATGTATGTATGTGTGTGTATGTGTGTGTGTATGTGTGTATATGTGTGTGTATGTATGTGTGCGTGTGTATGTATGTGTATGTGTGTATGTGTGTGTGTGTGTATGTGGTTGATTTCTAGCTTTGCTCCAGAATAGAATACAGATAGAAAAGAGGGAATAATTTACCTTTCTGTATGTGTGTAGACTTTCTACTTTAGAGCAAGTCCCACGGCCGGCTGAGAAGACTGAGTTTTGTGGTGTTTGGGTGGAGTGTTCTGTAGATGCCCTTCAACTCTTTTGCCTGTATGATCTGTCCCCTGTTGCCAGTGGGTTATTTATGTCACCCACTATTTCACTTTTTATTTGGTAGTATTTGTTTTAGGAAACCGAGAGTACTCCTGTGTTTCACATTTAGAATCGGAAGGCCAGCTGGATGGATGGTTCCTTGCATCCCTTCTGATGGGTTTAGTCTGAGCCTGTTAGGTCAGATATTAGAATAGGAATCCCTTCGCTTGGGATACCTATGCCCACCTTTCCTGCTTGATGCTGGAGTGTGTTCCTTGCATACAAAGGAGGAGCTCCTGTGCTCTGAGCCCCGCTGCTAGTCTGTGTCTTTTGATTGGTGAACAGGGACCACTAATATCCAGTTTTTTAAAGGTGTGTGCTAGTTGTCATTCTGCTGGGGTTTGTAGTATATGGTGTTTTCCCACATTTACTCCTTTAATTTTTTTTTTATTCATTACATATATTACATCCCAACCAAAGCTTCCCCTGCCTCCACTCTCCCACCAACCCCAGATCTATTACTCCTTCATACCAAACATGGCCTAACAAGTTACGATAAGACTAGGCACAAACTCTCCTATCAAGGCTGAACAAGGCAACTCAGTAGGAGAAAAAGAGTCCCCCAAAAGTCAGAGATGCCCTCACTACTGATATTACAGGTCCCACAAGAACACCAAGCATACAAGAATACCGCCCCACCATAACGTGTATGCAGAGGACCCAGCTCAGACCCACAGAGTCCATGAGTGTTTCTCCAGTCTCTTTGAGCCCCTGTGAGCCCTGATGAGTTGATTCTGTGGGTCGCATTCTCATCTTCCTAATCTGCCCCGTAGCCTCTTAGATACCCTTCTTTCCTGCCTACAGTACTCTTAACATCCCCTGAAGCGCTGTTTGTGTGGTCATAAAGTCCTTTAGTCTGCTTTTGACAGGGGAAGTTTCATTCCTCCCCCAGGTAAGATTTTGTTTGGTGTAGTTGTCTAGGTTGACTGGCAGCTGTGGTCTCTCAGAACTTGAAACATTCTCCTGAGACGTTCTGGCTTTCAGTTTCCGTTGGAAAAGAAATCAGCGGCTAGCTGACAGTGTGTGATATGATCCTTCTCGCCTCCGGCTTTCAATATTTGTTCTTTGATGTATTTAGTGGTTTGGCCAGCACCGAATTTTCTTTTCTCCTTTATTTGGTTAGTTCTGCCATTCCCTTATATCCGGATGGGTTGGGGGGGGGGTCTTTTCCCTCTAGAGTTGGGAATTTTTCTTTTATATTTTATTGAAGATATTTTCTATGCTTTTGGTATGGAATTCTCCTCCTCTATGTCCACAGTTCGTGATCTGGTATTTTCATGGTGTCCCAAAGATCTCACTTGTCCTACTCAAGAGATTCTTAAAAATTATCATTTCCTTGGTGGAAAATCCCTGTCAAGTCTTCAAGAGCTGGTGATCTGTCCTCCATTCGACCCTTCCCGCTGAGCATTTGCTTTGCTGAAATGTCTGTTTCTTGTCACTTGGGTCTTTTTCTGTTGAATCGTTCTTATTTCCTGATTGATCAGTTGTTTATTTTCTCTTGGAATCCATTCACCAGTTCATTCCTGAGCTGTAAATTCCCTGAATGAATTTATAACCACTTTAAATTCTTTCTAAAATTTTATCTAAGTAGATTCATTAGGGACCATTACTGTGAATAGGTAATTTGGGGAGGGGCATACTGTGCTGACTTTAGCTATTTTTATCCTCTTGCCTTAACTTCTACTATTTATTAAATACACATATCAAATCCTTTTTCTGCAACTAGCTTGTTTCTTTGCCTCTTCTTCCTTTTCTTCTTCTTCCTCCTCTTCCTCTTCCTCTTCCTTTTTAGAAAGGATTTGGGTAGCTTTGGCTGTCCTGGAATTAGCTGGCCTTGAATCTACAGAGATCTGCCTGGCTCTGCCTCCCTAGTGGTAGGATGAAAGGTGTGCGCCACCACGGCCCAGCCTGACTCCTTTTCTATGTTTGAGATTTATATTGTGGATTCCAGTTAGAAAAATCATCAGGATTAACAAAAGACAATAACAGCAAAGGCAAAACTTTCCCGAAATGTTACTAGGACCTCATAACTCGGTCTAAAAGAGGAGTTTCCCCTCAATCCAGCTTGTCCTACCACTGAACTGAAACCAGCAGTGGGGTCTCCCCTTACCCATGCTTGTAGAACAACCTCATTCTGTTTGTGCCTTCCCATATCTGTTTGTTTGGTTGGTTTTTTTTTTTTTTCGAGACAGGGTTTTTCTGTGTACCCCTGGCTGTCCTGGAACTCACTCTGTACACCAGGCTGGCCTCGAACTCAGAAATCCGCCTGCCTCTGCCTCCCAAGTGCTGGGATTAAAGGCGTGCACCACCACCGCCTGGCCGCCTTCCCATGTCTTGTCTTAACAGTCCTTGAGCTAAATTCATTTAACTGGGCTATGTGAAACATTCTGGCGGTACACAACAATCTTTAGCAGATTCTATATTTAAAAGGGACGGAGGGCCAGCAAGATGGCGCAAGCAGGTAAAGACTCCAGCTGCCAAGTCTGGTATCCTTATCTCTAGGACCCACATGTGGAGAAACAGATTCCTGCAAGTTGTCTTCAACCTCCGCAATCACGACACACACACACACACATACGTATGTGATCTTTGAAAAAGGTAGACGGACCGTGTATATCTCTAGCCGCTCTATCCCCCGCAGGCCCCGCCCCCACCCTGAATCCCCCGGGGCGTCATCTGAAGTGTTTGCTTATATCACCAGGACATCGCCAGAAAGCTCTGACACAGAGTATAACTTTGAAATCAGTCTCATCCTGGCTCGTACACTGAAGTTAACTGTAGAAAATGACCATCACATGCCTGGCAGGCAGATCTGTAATCCCAGCTGCTTGGGAAGGCAGAAGCAGTGTCGGAATCACAGGAAGTTCAAAGCCAGCCTGGGAACTTCGGCGAGACCCTGCTTCTGAACAAACTGGGGCTGAAGGTTTGTGGTAGCTCCTTTCTAGAATATGCAAGGCTATAGCTCCGTTAACGCCCAGTAGTACCCTTCCTTGCGCTTCCTCTCAGCCTCCTGGACAACACTACACCGCCCTTTGTTTAGACTGCAGTGCACTGTAGTGTTCAGGACAGGTGCCCTTTGTACTTCCCTGAGTTTTCTCTCGGACACTCAGCTGGAGACACTGAGGAAATCACAGTTGGCTTCTGCTGTGCTGAGAGAGGACATGCTGAGTTAGCCCAAGAGGCAGGCGATAGTATCAGCAAGAGATTTGTGACTAAGGTCACTCGGTGGAAACAGGTCCTGAGCAAAATAAGTACAGAGTACGGCAGAAGCTTAGAGAGGTCTCAGGACTGGGTCATGGATCAGACATCGGGCACTTTCGGGATAGGCAAGAAGAGGTAGTCACAGGTACAACCAGAAGCTGGAACCACGGACGCTGGGCAGCAGTACACCTTCTCAAATCAGGAATGTAGGACTGAGTGGCACACAAGCGGTTTTCACTTGCACTTGGCACACACGTGTGATTCTCCACTTGCACTTGTGAGGTAAGAGCAGAATGACTCAGGGGTCTGAGGCCATCCTAAGTTACAGGTCTCCCAAAGAACCCCAGCCCACCACAGCAGGACTTGTACTGTGGGTACCATAGACTAACCGTCATTCACCTACCGCCGGTAAAGGTGTAGCACTGCTGTTTCAGCTCTCATTCCGAGTGGCTGTATCTTAACTGAAAGCAAATAAGCAAACTCTAAAACCTTGAAAACACACAGATTTTTTTTTTTTTCAAACAAGAGGAATGAGGCTATCTTCTGTTCAGTAACAATGGCAGATGAGAAACAAGAACTACACTGCCCAAGGAAACGACCATGCTTGCAGGAGGAATCCTCTCACATGATTCACCTCTTCAGGAAAGGCCAGTCAGTCAGGACTGACACTGCAGGAAAGAAAGTATTCCATAAATGAACAGTGCTTCTTCACGTTGAGTCTAGCCGTCGATTCTGAGGTGTGACAGCTGCAGCTAACAGCATTTCATTCTAGCTCACGAGACAGGAAAATCAGGACAAACTCGGGGCCAGCCTTGTGTACATAGTAGAGACCCTGTTATAAAGAACAGGGCTTAGTGACTCCCCTCCCTCCCTCCCAAGGCATCACGCTGTTCGAGGCTAAATAAATCTTTTTTTTTTTTTTCCTCCCAATCTCAAGTCAAATGCTAGTTTATCTGACAGGATTAGACTTTTTCACTTTGCATATAAGAATACTTCTGTATTTACATGACAAAGCACTTAAGAGTCTGTAATCTGGTGTCTTAACAAGGAAAGATGAGGAGTTATCTTGACCATGTTGAAGTTACAGACCCCAGAAAGGGAAGATCTAAAAGGCAAGCAGAAATGAGAAGAGGGGATGGGCTAGCTGGACAACTTAGACCGGCAAGGCCCAGCCAGACAGGGGAACAAGGGAGAAAACAAGGCTGTAGCTCACACAGGATGAATACCGATGACTTCTAACAACTGACTGTAGAGGTGCTCGTGTGTGTGTGTGTGTGTGTGTGTGTGTGTGTGTGTGTGTGTAAGTGTAAGCACGTGGAAATGCTGATTACATAGGTGACTTGGTTAGGGACGCACCTCAACTATACCTGGTCTAGCCATGTGAGTACCAGGGATGGGGTTACAAGGTATCAAGGGGGCTTGTTTAGAAAGCAGGTCGTTTTGGACACATTGTTAGCAGCCCTGCGAACACTACTATCAGGCAGTTGGACTGTAAGGTCTGTAGACAGACTGGATAGTTGCTCAGAGATCTCATGAGAGTTATGCAAGGTGTTACAGGGACATCTCACCAAAGCTGGGGCTGAGCTCTCTCCAGCAAGGGCTCAGGTAGCAAGAGACAAGACTTAAGGCCTTATCTATGATCCTCCACAGCACAAGAGTAAAGGCTCATGGGAAAATATGGGATGAGACCCCAAGGACAAAATGAAGATTCAAGTGGAAGTCACAGGCATGACCAACAGATGGCACCAAAAAAATCCCAGTCTCAGATAAGTACCTCAGTGTGTGCCCCTCAGTCAGACCAGCTTTCTACTGCTGGCAAAGCTGTTTTATCTACATACTCCCTGCTCTAATGTAGTGAAATTAGCCTCAGCCTGCTGGTTCGACCTCAGGAGCTACAACTACACACTTACCGGTCTCCTAGCTCACTTTCAGTGCATAGGCAGTAAGCCCTGGTAAGCCCAATGCAGAGATTCTAGAGTCAGGCTGCCTTGTAAAATCCTACCTCCACTGAGTGTGTTGACTTGGGGCAAGCTGCTTTAGCTAGCTCTTGGGACTCACCCTCCATCTATTAAGAGAGGTTATTACAATACATACCTCGTCTAAGGTTGCCATAACGACCAATTTGTTCTTGGCACTGTGCTTGGCACACACTAATTATTCCTTGTGAATTATCAGAACTATCAGGAGAAAAATATAAACCTGGCTGAGATGCTTGCTTTACAGAGCTGCCACTCTGGCAATGTGGGCGAGCACTCGTCTTCCACTTTTCCCTGGCTTTAGCTTGACTTGAAGCTTCTACCATCTTTAGTCCCCCCTTTTCTGATCACAGAAACCTGTCTTACTCCAGTCACATCTTGTGTCTGAAGTTGCAGTGTCCTGTGTACACAGAGAACACCAGGCTAGCAGTGATAGAGGTATTGACTGGGGCCTTGCAAAGTGTGAGACTCAAGACTCCTTCCACCGACACCCTGGCAACCCTCATAGCCACTCATCCTTCAGGCCAACCTGCTCTTTGGTCACCCTGCACCAGCAGTTCCAACCAGCTCTGGCACTTGTCCTAGGCATTTTTCAACCTAGACCATGAGGGCTTCCCAGTGCCAGGCCAATCCCAGAAAGACAGTGGCTGTGGAAAGGCAGAACTCCAAACCAGCACAGGAAATTCCCAGCATTCCATTATCAACCCCAGGCTGCTTATCTATCAAACTGCTTTAGAAACCAAGATGAAATCGTGACACTTATAAAATGCTTGAGAGACAGAAGAACCTTTGACCAGTTGGGGAAGGAGTAAGTCATTCAGGAGATAAACTGACCAGAAATTCCTGAGAGTACAGCATAGGTTTGGAGATCTTTCTCAGTTTTGCAATCCATGAAGGATGACCCAGGCTTTCTCCTAAACTGGGGGTTGTTCTTAAGGTGTCCTAAGTTATGCTAGGTGCCAACCTAGCTATCAAGTCTATGAGCAGAGCAGGTAAGTTATCTAGGCTGTTTCGAATCCCTTTTGTAAACTCACTCCTACTTGTAAAGACTTCTGAATTTAGGTCTAGAACTCACTGGCTTATTAGTTGGCGCTCCTTCTGGCACAGGTAACCACCTTCACCCTGATCTGAAAGCTATCACCCAGGATGGCTACAAGAGTCCTTGTATACTTGATGCTTTTGGGCACAGACTTTGCTACTGGTAACTCACTTGTGACAGTTCGTTCTGTCTCCTTGGGTATATACTAAGCTCCCCATTTTACTGTCCTAAAGCCTCACTTCTAGGAGCCATACATCAATCACACACCTCGTGAAGATTGTGGACTTGGAATGAAACATAAGACACACACTGCCTTATAACCTCACTGAAGCTTGACCTAAGCTATCCCCTCACCTTTAGTAGCATAGCAAACACTTAAGACAACCTACACAAGAGATGTACGTGCTCAGTAGCAGTCCTTTGTCCAGCATGTTCAAGACTCTGGGCTCAATTCTTAGCACTCTAAAAATAGACCTAGGGGACAACTGGGGGATATGGCTAATGGTGATGCCTAGAGCTGCATCAATTCCCACCCACGCCAATCTTATTTCTTTTGAACCACTTTGAATACAGAAACAAATCTCACTAAGAAAAACTAACTCAAAACTTCAATAATATTTTTTTTTATTTACAAGTTAGAATCAAGAAAGAAAAGACAGTCCAGGAGCCAACTGGAGAGGTGACTAAAATCCCCAGGCCCCAAATGGAGTGGAAGTAAAAGGGAAGAGTAGAAAAAAAAGTCAATGTAAAAAACAAAAGAGCTCCCTCTTCTTCCCTCCCCATGGAGGCTGGAGGGAGGACCTCGGCGCTACACACCCCCAGCCTTACCACCTAGCTTAAATAAATTAAAACCTCAAAACAGGGCCCTTAGAAGTGAACAGGACAGCTACAGCTCAGGGGGCTTTGTGCCAGGCCTATACCCACTCCCACCCATACCCTTGCCCCACCCCCATCATCCTCAACAGGGACACCACACCCAACAGGGCTAGGAAATCAATCCCTGCATGTCCATGTCCCTGCATTCCTCCCCACTGCAGAGCCAGCTCTCCTATGGAGGGGTCAGATGAAGAAGCATCACAGCAAGGGAAAAAGTGGGGAAGGGTGGTACAGGGGTCCGGTCCTGCGGAGCCTTCCTGCCCCATCTGGCCTGGCCCCTTAACCCGAGTCTGAATCGCTGGTGTCTGAAGAAGATGAAGACGACGAGGAGGAGCTGGAATCTGAGCTGGAACTAGAAGCACTGAGACGGGACACGGCCACTTGCTGTGCAGATGACTCTGTCTTCTCACTCGCTGTAGAGCAAGTAGAGCAATGTTAAAAGGTAGAAGATGTGACATTTTATCAGAACATTTTTGCCTAGTTAGTAGCCAAAAGGGCTAGTATTCAATTTAAAGGTGAGGAAGGGTGAATATAAGTCTGAAATACCTTTCTTGGGGGGCTTTTTGGTGGAGTTGAGCTGTCCGCTGACATCCTGCAACCGCTTCTCCAGCTCCCGCTTCTTCTCCAAAGCCAGTTCCTCCTTTGTTTTTCCCACAGGTTTTCTAATAGCTGGAGGGAAAAAGTCAGGACTCACTCGATTGCCCCAAGTCTTCCCAGAGTTGCCAACTTCCATTCCTTAATGAAGCAGCCCCATTCATGCTGGATGCTGACTGCCACAAACACACATGGCAAGCACACACCAAGATCCCTATATTCTTGCTGTCTGTCCTCAGAACTACTACTGTGGAGAGACGTTAACTGATGGATATCATCTGATACTCACTGTAGGGCTTTCGGGGTTTCTTTCGAAGGCAGGATAAAACGTATCGCTCAAGCTCTCTAAGTGTGGATGGCTTGAGTGTTTCAAAATCAATCTCAATTTCTTCCGGATTTGAATCGCGTAGAGAGGGCTCCCTGGCTTGGATGATATGTACGACTCGACCCAGCTTTTCCCCAGGTAATTTATTAATATCCAGGCTTAACTGTCTCTTCTCATCATAACTCATGGGCCTGCTTTCTTCTTCCTCCTCTGAATCATAGCCAGTGGGAAGGACAGGTGGAACTGTCTTCTGAGCCTTTTTAGGCAGCCTATGGACAATAGGAAATTATCAGTAACGAGTTTACACCATGCAGAACTGGCTTATACAATACCCTTAAGACAATCTTAAATGCTTACTTGTTGCTACTTCCTCCGGAAGTCCCAAAACCAGGATGGCTGAGTGAAGTAGCATTGCTACCCCCACCACCTGCTTTCTTAGATTTCTTGGGCGGGAGCGGGCGAGGTGCCCTAGGCCCTTTATCATCTTCATCGATCCCAATTCGGCCACGATGTTTCTCTGCCTTCCGTTTCTTCTTCTTTTCCTTTTTCTCTCTCTTCCGCTTGGGCTTAGATATTGGACCTTGGGACAGGGCAGCCAGTTGTTCATGAACCGCCCGAAGCTACACAGGAGAAAGGCTTAGTAATTAATTAAGACCAAGAAACAATTGGGATCAACATAGTCCAAGTTCTCACCCAATTAAAGGCCACAAAAATGATTTACCTGCTCCTGTAGCTCTGCCAGGCGATGAGCCCTTTCTTCCTCGGAGTCTGAGCTTTCACTCTCTTCCTCATCATCGTCATCTTCCTCCTCTTCCTCAGAGGAACTCTCACTGCTACTTTCCTCACTGGAGGACTCTGAAGAGGATTTGGCCAACCCAGGAGGCAAGGCAGTAGAGACTGGTAAAGGCCCTGGTTCCAGCGGCTCATCTGGCATCTTGGCATAGCGGAACTCAAACACATCCTAAAAAGACAGGCAGACTCAAAACTGTGTTTAATGAATGCCTAGCCACCCAGCACACTAGCTCCAACTTGATACAAAAATGGCAAAATCTTACAAGTCTTAATTGCACAGCAAAAATTAAACTCTTAAGCAGTTCCTGTGGAGTAAATTAAACTTCAACTTTCTTTCACACTCACCTGTAACTTTCGTGCCATAGCCACGACATCGTGGTCTGGAGGATTGTACTTATAGCAGTTGGAGAACATAAGCCGTACATCAGCAGCAAACTCCTGTGCATCCCGGTAGTCACGGTTCTCCATCTTCCGCTGCAGAAGGAGGCAGCATGAGAAGCTGCACAGGCAGTCTCATCTTTCCCTGCCAACCCGACTCAAGAGCAGCCCTCTCTTGAAACAAGTGGGGATGACCTTAAGGATCTGTGCCCTGGGGTTCAAGTTTGAAGTCCAAGGATTTGGGGTAGGTTTGAAGAAATATCTATGTCTAGAAGAAAACATTTCTAAGTAACCAAGGCCATCTCTCTCCCATCACATTTCCCTAACCCAACTCTTATCCTTACTATTAAAAAACCAGGGTTTCAAAGTACGTGATCTTGTACTGTACAACTTTATATAACACACAGAATGAAAAACTACCACGGTGCCCATAAGGAGAGATAGATATTTTGCTTTATTGGTCCCTAGGCTCCAACCACTGCCTGAGCATGCCATCTGCCCCATGCAGTGGGTACCTTGACAGTGCTGAGGTCCATGGGGTGCTTAATGATGTCATGGTAATCATGAAGGCCAAGAGCAGAAGCGTCCACTGGTTTATAGAAAGGCCAGGCATAGGCAGCATGCTTCTTAGAGAGCAACTCCTTCAAGATGCCATTGCAGTGCTTTAACTGTTCTGACAGCTTTCCTTTCTTAGAGCTCTGGTGTTGCTGTTGCGAGTCAGGCAAGTCTTTTCGTGGGGGTTTGATTGGGCGGCCACTCTCTCTGCGCATAGGAGGGAGCCGTGCTGCCTTTGGCTCAAGACTCCCAGGAGGACTAGCTGGGGAACCAGGAGCCAGGATGGCCGTAGGTGTAGGGGTGGTAGTATCTGCTTTCCGTTTAACGCCTTTTTTCTGTAGTAGAAAGATGGAGGGAATCAGTCATTCCAGGTCCATTTCTTTTAACATCTTTCCTCCTAGTCATCCCACACAATCAACCTACTGATGTATACCTTGGCAAGGGGCTGAGCTGCAGGAGCTGCTGATACAGCAAGGAGTGGGGGTCCAGCAGAGTGCAGGGACTTAAGAAGAGGAGAAGAGATGACTGACGGGTGGGGAATGTTGAGGACAGTGGTAGGTATTTCAGGTGGTGGTGTATACAGGGCTGTATGCGACACAGAAGAAACAGCAGGCACCTGATGGGCACTGGTAATGCTGCCCTGGAGTGCTACAAAACATAACAGAAACAAAAATTTTGTTCACTCCTATCTTCGGGTCACCTAAATAGCTTGTCTGTAGGTCACCACTTCCTACCTGCTAACTTGGCCCCCTTCTTATGGCTGTTTTTAGGGATGGTCACCACAAGCTCTTGCTCCTCTTGTGGCATTGATGCCACTTTCTGTAAGAAGATCTTTTCCAGTGTCTGTGCCATTAGGACAATATCATCGGTGGGCTGCAGAACACGCACAGAACAGGTCAATTGCTGGCATAAGCTACCATCTCTCCAGGATTCCCAGCCTCAGGGCACCCACCACACCCCTCACTAGTACCTAAGGTCATCACATCAAACTAACCCCCACCACCTGAAAATACAAGGGCAGAGCTGGTGAGTTGCAGAACCCGCTTTTCTCAGGTCTCTGGAGCTTTCTGAGAAACAGGGCCACCATCCCCAAATATGAAATGTGTTCTACTTAAATAACTGTTAATTATAGGAACACTGAAGCCACATCTAACAGCACCATTTGGAGGTCAGGCCTCCTTAGACCTTGACTAGATGGATAGCGTTGACAGAAGAAAGAAGCAGAGTACTGCCTATCAGCAGCTGCCAAGTAAACGTACCTTGTTATAAATGTAACAGTTGGTAAACATGGTATTAAAATCCTGCATACATTCTGAAGCAGCCCAGTAGTAATTGTTTTCAAGTCTCCTCTTGATAGTACCCATGTCCATAGGCTGTTTTATAATTTTGTGATAATCCTAAAGAAAGATATCCTAGGTCAGAGCCACAGGAAAATGTCTATTCTAGGGCAACTACCAACAGGAAAAACACACACACAACACCCCACACGCACACACCCTAGACATTAAGGAATATTGCCCACACTGCGGCCCCAATTAAACTATGGGCTAGGAAAATTAGACTTTAAATTCCCACTAGGAGGTAGGTCCCTGATACCTTTTCTCTAGCCACCCACCTCCCACCCACTCTGGAAACTTCCCATCCTGTGACATTACCTCTGGGGGTGGCTATCCATGGGCTGCATGAGGGAAAGGAAGAAGCTAAGAATTTTGGCCACCGTGGTCCTCTCCCAACCAGGGGTGGGAATCTGTAAAATGGAGCCAGGGCACAAAAGTTAAGGGACACATGGAGGCAAGATGAGAAATGCCAAGATAGAGATTAACAAGCACAAAGGACCAAGAATCCAGAACTCTGGTGGCTATTTGCTCTAAGAGAACGGGAGCTCCCTAGGGGCCGCAGCACCTATACTAAGTAGCCCACCCCCACTCACACATTCCAGCTCATTCCCATACCTGCCCCCAATCCAGCCTCTTACCGGCAGACCCAGCTTCACAGCGTCCACAGGCTGCCGGAATGGCCATGCAAACTGATGCTTCCACAGAGCCTTCATCACTACCTTGTGCAGGTACTGCAGTTGGTTCGTTACCCGTCCTGGCTTTTTGGGATTGGACACCTCAGGAGGAGGTGGGTTGGCAGGGGCCAGTTGTAAAGCTGGTACAGAAGCCATTGTGGGGCTCTCGAATCCCTCATACAACAGAGAAGGCTTTCGAATCCTTTTCCCTGGTGCTGCTGCCTCTGGGCCCAGCCCCAGTAACCCTGCATTCCCTTCCCCAGGGAGCCTGCAAAAAGGGGAAGCAGAATTAGATGTGGTAATAACACAAAAGATGAAGAAAATGTTGCTAACTTGCACTATGCAACCCTATAAAAGCTAGGTTTTGGCTGCCACAAGGTACAGTGAAGCGAATTGCAACCAACCAGGAGTCAACTAAACTCAACAATAGTTTGTGCTCATCTTTATCCAGCTTACACCCGAGTGTGATGAGCTTCTTGGCTAAAATAAATACAAAACCAATGTCACATGACACTCGAGCCTTATGGAGAGGAATCCGAAGCAAAAATGGGTGGAGCTAAATAGTGAAGCTTCATCCTCACTAGGGACTTAATGGTTGCCATGGTGGTTGAGACAGAGAAGCCAGTGAAAAGGAAAAGGGAGAATAAACCTCATAATGATCGACACACCTAAAAAAATTCATCGCGCCATCTTCTACAATCTCTAGGGGGTTCAAGACCACAGTAGGAACCAGATAAAAAACCAACCCCGTAACCCCAACCAAAACGCAAGGAAACAGTGACTGCCAGACCTCCAAAAAACTATCAACAAAACAAGTCTCCTTCAGAAGGCACAACAGAAAGCACCCTACAGTCAAGGTCAACGCCCGCAGCCCTAATTTAGACAGCATGGCCCCTACAAAATCAGGGTCCCCAGCGACCCCCACTGTAGCTCAGACCTCAGGCTGACAAGGGAGGCGCCATCGTGTGACCCGCGGGCCCCGTGGTCAGCGTGGACCAGGTGTTTGTTCCCTGCCGGCTCAGACTCCAGACCCAGGGCTCATTGTTTACATCTGCAGCGAGCGAGCCCGAGCCTCCATCTCCCTCCTCCCCGCTGAATGAGGCTCAACCTTCTGCAAACACACCCACCACAGGGCGAGCGGACCTTCAGCGCCGCCCGTGCCTACGGAGCACAAGCCCGGCCTCGGGCGTGACGGACCGACCCCTCCGCCCTGTGGGAATCCCCGGAGCAAGCCCTCACGCTGTCACCATGGCAAATCTACGGCACTGAGCGGCCGAGACCCCCCCAGCACGGTGACAAATCACCGCTGGAGCCGCGCACACCCCCCCCGCGGTCCGCCCGGCTCGCCCCGGCCGCCGCGGCGCCGACAAGCTGCTCAGACGCAGTACCTGGGCCGCCGCCACCGCTTCAAAACCGTCGCAGCCCCTCCGCGAGCCCGCGTCAACAGCTGCGGCGCGCCCCGCCCGCCCGCCCGCCCCTCCCGGAACGCCGCCCCCCGGCCCCCCTCCCACACGCGGCGGCGGAGACGTACTTGTGGGGAGTCACGTTCTGCAGCATCTTGACCTCGGGGAGCCGCCGCCGCCGCTCAGCCGCTGCGTGGGGTGCGGGTGGCCTGGGCTCCGCTCACCGCCGGGCCCGGCATGCCCCGGGACGCGGGCGGGAGGCCGCTGCCCTTGGCCCTCCAGGCGGCAGCCTCGCCGCGGGGCCGGCGCGCTCGCTCGACCGCGGCCTCCTGCGCCGGCCTCCGCACACTCGGGCAGCTTGGCGCGCTCCGCAGGCGCCGACGGCAGGAAGATGGCGGCGGCCTCCGCCGGCCGGCGAGCCACGGCAGCGCCTTCAGTCTGCAGAGCCGACAGTCCCCGAGCCGGACGCCGCCGTCAATCCGGCCCGCCGCCGGTCGGCGGGGGCGCCCTCTTCCCGCCGCGGCCGCCGGGGGGTCCCAGGCGCCGCGTCAGACCTCCGATGGGGGCGGATGAGCACCGAGAGGGGGTTTCAGAGAGCCGCCGCCTCCATCTTTGAAATCCTCTCGAGGGCGGAGTGGAGGGGTGGACAGACTCCGAGGACTGGGCGGGGCCCGAGACAGGGGCGCCTCGGGGGCGTCTATGGGGTCTGCACTGTCCGCCGGGAGCGGCCGCGGGCCGGGGCGAAGGCCATTTCCGGGCGGATGGACGTGGATTGTACGCGCGGCCCGCGGAGGCTGCAGACGCTGCTCGGAAGCCACGGTCGCCCGGCTCGTCCTAGAGGCTGCTCCACTCCAGCGCGAAATGGCGCCGCCGAGCCCCGCGCCAGCGCTTTATATATAGCCGGGGGGGCGGAGCTTCGCCGCTCATGCGCGCCACCCTGCTCGCGAGCTCCCCCGCCCCCTCCGCGCGTGCTCGCCCGCTCACGCGCCCGAGGAAGCCGAGGCCAGGAGGCAGGGCCGCCTCTTCGCGGGAGCCTCTCCTATTGGTCCGCTGGAGGGATGACGTCACAGACCCCCGGTTCCACGGCGTCGATCACCCGGCAGGAGAGTGCCGCATAGAGCCAAGGCCGAGAGGCGCCCCGCCATGTCTCCGAGCCAATCGGCTGCGCCGTGGTTCCGCGAGCCCGGGGAGAGACGGAGGCCGAACGGCGAGCGGGCGCCATCCCCCCGGGGCCTGCAGCGCGCCGTCCCCACCTCCAGGTCCGACGGAGCCCTCCCGGGCCTGCGGGCCCGCGGCAGGCCGGTCGCGGCTTTCCATTGGCGGCGCGCGCGGGGCGCGGGGCGGGCCGGGTCGCGCGGACGGGCGGGGCCGGCGAGGTCTGGGCCGCGAGGCCGCCGCAGCCGAGAACCTGAAACGAGGAAGACAGACGCCATCTTAGAAGCCGCGGCCTGCTCCGGGCAGAGACCTGAGCGCGCCCCGGTGTCCCCGACGCAGTCTAACGTGACGGGCTCCGTGACCCAACACATGACCCCGGGGCGAGTTCAGTCCCGAGGCTAGCCTGGCCTTCCCCGAACCTCAGTAACCAGATAACAAAGGGCACGCTCTGCTTTAAACCAACCCTGACCCCTAAGGACGCGAGGCCGCCCCGAGCGTCCACGTCCCGCCGCCCCCGGGGCGCACACCCCGACACCCGCACCCTCCGGCGCGCTTACCTGCCTCGCGAACGCAGCAGGCGCGCACAGGCCCCGGACACCCACCTCTGCAAACCCTGCCGGCGTCGGGGTGGGGAGAGCGGGCGCGGCGCGCGGCGCCCCGGCCCCGTGTCGCCCCGGCGTGGGCGAGCTGACGCCCCCCGCCCCCATCAGGCCGGAGTCCTCCCCACGGAGCGCCTCTTCCATCGGTCAGCGCCGGGGAGGAGGGCGAGCCGAGGAGGAGGCGGCGGCGCTGCTCTGCAGCCCTCCTCCCTCCCTCCTCCCCTCCCCCCGCAGCCGGACGCCTCCGAGGAGGGGCAGGAGCCATTTTGGGAGCCGTCTCGTCCCCTCCCCCTCCCCGCGGCTGTCTCGGGGCTCTGGAAACCAGACTCATGTCAGGGCCGACCAACCAGCCCGGTCTCAAGGTCAGACGGCTGGAGCCGCTCCGGGGCGCCCCGCGCACCCCCGCCGCGCACCCGTGTCCTGCTCCCCCAACGCCCCTGTTGGTAGCTGGGGAGACATGTGTGCACGTCGGGGGGTCAGGAGAGCTGGAGCTGGCGAGGGGCTGTGAGGCGACCTCGCCCGCCTCGAACCAACACCCCCGACCGGCCCGGGTCCTAGAACCGCGACCAGGCGACCCCCCCCCCACATCAGCCCTCGACCTCGAACCTAGGTCGCCGCACCTAACATGGCGGCCAGGCTCCCCGTCTCCCGGACCCCGCAAGCTTAGTGCGGACCCCGCAAAGGGGGTTTGGAGGGGGGAGAAGCGAGAGACCCCCGCGCTCCCCGCCGGGGGATCGAGGCCCGGGTCGCCCGAGTGCGCGCGCGGCCCCGCCCGGGTGGCTGCGGCGAGCGGGGCAATGACACAGCAACTCGAGCGGGACGAGGCGTCTCCTCCCCTCCCCCTGGCGGCCCGGCCTCCAAAGTGGAGCCTCTGCACCTGGGCCTCGGCGGGTCGGGACCCGGAGCTCCACGGGGTGTGGTGGGGGTGGGGACAGCACTCGGGAGCCTCAGAGAGAGAGAGAGGGAGGGACAGAGGGTGAGGGAGGGCGGCCAGACGCGGCCCCGTCTCCCCGCATTCCGGAAAATCACTGCGCCCGGCCGTTCCCAGCCCTCCCTGCCCCCACATGAGTCACAGGGGAGGCCGCCGCCGCCGCCGCTACTTAGTAATTTGGAAAAGTAACTCTCCCCTCCTTTCCGCTCCCTCCCCCGCAGCGCACAAGGAGGCAACTGTTCGAGGCCGGGGGAGGGGAGGAGGGCGGCGAGAGAGCGAGCCACCCCGAGAAACCCTAAACCAAGCGGGCTGCGACGCCCAAGCTCCCGACCCGGGCCACGCTCGCTCTCCACTCCCACCACCCACCCCGGGTCGGGATCGCGCTCGCAGGCGGCTCCCCCACCCCCAAAACCCCGGGCTCCCGGCCTGTGAACCCTCCTCCCCACCCCGGGGCAGCGAGAACCGGCCGAGACCCCCGCAAGGGGCCGCGCGCCCGGGAACAGCAGGCCCCGCGGGCCGCGTCCTCGTGAAAAGCGCACACACACACACGCACAGTCGAGTCGAGGCAGAGCCTCCATGCGCCATGTGACGACGGCGAGCCTGCCACCCCCTTGACACAAAGGCAGCTCAGGGACGCGCCCGCCGGGTCCCCCGGGGAGGCTGGGAGCCGGCTCCCGGGAACCACACTCCAGTTCACAACCGGGGCCGCCGACCCCAAAGCTCCCGCGCGCCCCACGCCCGACGCCCGCACTCGGCCCACCGGGCCGCCCCTTCCCTCGCCCGCCATAGAGATCGCATCTCACCTGGCTCCGGCGTCCCGGACCCCCAGGGGACGGATGCGAGGGGGGCGCACGCCACCCTCGCCCCTTTGCCCTCCAATGGGTACGTAGGCACGAGGTTGGCCATTCCCCTCCCCCCCGTGGCCCTCTCGGTCTGGCCCCGGTCCACACGCCCATTGGCTGTCAGGTGTTTGAAAGACAAGTCTTTCCCCCCCC